CAAGTACACCCACAAACCCACAAATAGAGCACTTCAGAACAGAACTGTCATAAAGATAGGAAAAGGAAAAAAAAAAAGATATGAGGAGTAAATTACCTGTAGGTAGGAGAAACGCATATTATTCATAGTGACAATAACTTTAACATCATATAAGGCATATCCAAGCATCCGGATGGCTAAATACTCAAAAAAGGTTTGCATCACACTCTTCTGCCCTTCTCTATGTCCTGTTTCAAATTTAGGAAACCATAGGACACATTTAACTTCACTCCACAGAACTGGACTTCCTGCAGTGTTGGATACTATCGTGTTGTATGGATTGGAATGGCCCCAGAGAATTCTGACATCAGTTGGTAATTGGTCAAGTGTGGATTCATCTGGAAGGGGCGTTGTGGAAATTATAGAAGACGGAGCATAGTGACGTGCAATATGTGACGAAAAATATAAATCATTGTCATCGAGTATGAGGATGCGTCCATGATGAGGTGCAGGAAACCATCGCAGAAGTGACAACATATCAGCATCTTCATTCTCCGGACGGCATAAACTTGACAGAACACCAGAATAAGCAGATGAAACTGAATCGTGAGAAAAGAAACATGAATCTCCATTCCGGCATCCCTATATAAATGTAAATTCAGAATATGTCAGATAGGAGCATCGAGACCCTTGAGAAAAATTTTGTAAGAAGAAATTTAAAGAAGCCAAGGATATGCGCCATTTAATACTACATGGATAACCTATGGATAAGGCAGTGCCAACAAATGACTATTTTCCCCTCCATATATATATATATAGCACACCCTTAAATCTTCCCCATTCTTTCTCCTCCTCCTTCCACTAATGCAAGCTTTTCTTCCTCTTCAAAGGAAAGATGTAACAAGTAACATGTCTTTGTGATGACTGATGAACCAAGGAAGAAAAAATTGACAGAAGAATCAGATTCTAATTTGATCATAGTCAGCCTATTAAGAATGATAACTGCATTTTTTCCTGGAATGACCAATACAGTAAGGGATGTCTTTATTACACCAAATGAAGCAAAAACGGAACTCTTTACTCTACGGAATGGACTCTCAACCCCTTCAATATTCTTTTATTCCTCTATCTCAAATCAACCAAAAGTAAAAAGAGGAGGACCTTCATTAACTCTTTTTCCCTAGTATTCACTTCCTCATTTTTCAATCACCAATGTTTCCAATGGGGGATTATCGATCAGGGACACTGTTATTTGACAAATACAATAAGCCATAAAACTACTGATACCTGTAAAGAGAAGAAAAATTTGCAAGTGGGCCTCTTTGCTTGTAAAGAATGAGAAAAGGAACATTGGGAACCTCTGTTGCACTGACCACTGAGAAAAAATTTACAAAGAGAAGCCTCCCCTGTGGAAACACCATTACCGTACACCAACATGTCAGGATTTCCAGAGACATCCGCAGAAGACTGACTTCTCATCTATCGAACATCGAAAAGGAAGATGATATCAAAATCTTGACATCAAATATAACAGCAAAGTGATAGCAGAATACAGTACCTCTTTGACTACACTAGCCAAATTTTGAGCCACCTTATGTGCTAATGATTCATTGTGGCCCAAAAATGGAATAGAAATGCATTTCCTTATTTCACCACCTAGTTCAAGTAGCTGATAATCCATATCTAACGTACCAGCATCTAAATACTGATCACAGTCGAGATGGCACTTGTGCTGATATTCATTTGGATTATAATAAGATGGTATGCCAACTGATGTAGCAAGAAATTGGGGTCTATATCGATGCAAAGAGTCCAGAACCTCATCATCTGCAACAACACAGGCTTAGTATAAAAAACCAAAGGATCTGGTAAAACTCAAAATAAGACATACATGATTCAGCAACTTGCTTGAGTGCCGATCGCAAAAGATTATGGTATGAGCACCACTCTTCCTCAATTTTTGAAAGCACTATTTCTCTGTCTTTTGTGTTATCCAACTTGAAGAGTTGTCTTAATAGTTGAAGGCGGTATTTGTCCTTCATTTGGAAACAATATACGTAAATAGAATGCTAGCATCCAAAAAAAAAAAAAAAAAAAAACAGGGAGGAGAGAGAGAGAGAGAGTGAAAGAGAGAGATTTCCTATAGTCAAGAATGAACTGCGGGTTTACCTTGAAAGCACGTTGCCAGAACTGAAATGCGCACGAATTTGCCATACAGATTACCTCTTTTCTACCAGATAAACCAGTGGTCTTAGAATCTCCACTGAAAAAGTTGTCAATGTACTTCATGAACTGCAAAATCAAATTTATTGATCAACATTAATCTAAACCATTAAAGAAATGTGACATTCTCAAATTAAAAAGTATAGGATAGTACCAAGCTTTCGTGGCCGAAAGGACGA